CTAAAAAGAACATTATTTTGTGTATTTGGTGTAATGAAATGTGTTTATGCGGTTTAATACAGTCTGTCACAAATACAGTCTGTGAGTCAGAACAGCCGGCATTGTAGTCTACTCTTCAGGATCAGGAAACGGTCCTCCATAAAATGTGCTGCACACATCTGTTAGGATTTATCATGGATGCCCTGCATTTACGGCCGGCAAAGAAACGCGTAGTAAAATTCGAATAGTGTTTTTATTTTTCGAATAATGATTACAGATCGAGTATTCGACTATTTGTACGCACCCCTAATTTAAATGTTAAATTTCTAAGATCTAGCATATGCTAACAAGTATTAAAAAGAAGGTATGTGATATGCATGTAGACTTGTGCCGGTATTCGGTAATGCGATATATCACGGTAATGAATATGCGCGATATTGTCAATCAAAAGTTGCAACTGTGCGTGGACGGGTGCGAAACATCGTGGTGGTTGCTGGAGCAGGTATCAGCACAGCTAGCGGTATACCAGACTTCAGGTGGATACTCAAATCCTTCAAAACTACTTCTGAATCATTGTTTCACTCGACTAACAAGTGTCTTTGTATCAGGACACCAGGGACGGGTCTTTATGCAAACCTTGCGAAGTATGACATCCCTTACCCAGAGGCTATCTTTAACATCAACTATTTCTCTGACAACCCTCATCCTTTCTTCTCATTGGCTAAAGAGCTGTACCCTGGACACCACTGTCCAAACTACGTTCACTATTTCATCCGTATGCTGCATCAAATTGTGCCTTACCCTATCTGTAGTGTGCGGTATCCCAGATGACAAACTTGTGGAGGCTCATGGGAGTTTCGCTACTGCTGCCTGCCACCTCTGCTATACGCCTTATCCTGCTGAGGAAGCCAAGGTAATATAAATTAGTTTGAGTGATCCAAATTACAAAATTTAATTCATACAATTTAGTGTATAATACATAATTTTTCTTTCTTTTTTCCTGTCAGCAAGCTATAATGAACGGCAATGTTCCCATCTGTACATTTTGTGCCGGGGCAGTCAAACCTAATGTCGTCTTCTTTGGAGAAGATCTACCAGAAAAGTACTCGTGATCATGGGCACATCTTTAAAAGTGGATATAATAATAATAATAACTGATCCTATAAGATATTTGAATATATTTTATATGTAAGCATGTTTGACAGTTTTGCTGTGTGACTTATACTCAATCTAAAATTATTTTAAACAGCATTTTGGTAAAATTAATTTACTTCATTTATTTATACATGCAGCTTTCATGAGTGCTTTAATTTTATATAAATATTAATATTATTACTTTGCTCCATGGCTAGAGTGAAATATTTGTACTTGTAAAAATTTATCACAATAGAACTAAATTAACTGTTTATTCATATTAACTAAAAGTTTTTTTAATATATATACATAATAAATATACACAGTACACGCACATATATTTTGTAAACAAAAACTTTCATTTTGGATGCGATTAATCGTTTGACAGCACTAATATAAAGTCAAAAACAGCATTTATTTGAAATAAAGACTTTGTTACAAAAGATTTCTATGGTCACTTTTAGTCAATTGAATGCATCATTGCATTATTTCTGTATGATATAGTTAAATATAATATATTTATCTTACAGCTATCAAGGGAAATCTCTCACGTCATGCTTAATCCTGTAAGTCTTCTTGCTTTGTGGCGGATCGAACCCTTCGCCAGCCTGGTAAACACAGTGAAGTCCACAGTGCCTCGTCTGCTGCTGAACCGCGATCCAGTCGGTCCCTTTGAACAGAGGCCCCTGAGGAGGGGTGACTATATAGAGCTGGGAGATCTCTCAGATTCAGTCCGAAAACTTGCTGAGATCCTGGGGTGGCATACTGAGATCCAAGACCTGATGAACAGCCATAAAAATGGGCTTTGTTCTTCTACTGACCCCAGCAATAGCAGCGGTGAGAAAAGTTACTCCTCTGAGACCGACAGCATGCACTAATGTCCACCACAGACATGCTCCGTATGTTTACATTTTCACTGGGTATGGCAGTGGAGACCTGGCAAGGGTTCCGAACGCACAGTGATGTTTATGTATATCATATATCATTCATCTGAATGTTTTATGTATGTCAGTGATCTTACTAGTAACAGGCAGTTTGACTGTATCTGGGCAGTCTTTCCTGACCAGATAAACAGCAGCCATGTTTGATCAGACAGTGAAACTTGGCCATGTTTCTGGTGGGTTTAGACTCATCATTTTAAATCCAACAAAACTTATATGCGTACTGTCTGCTGCACATTTTGACTGAAAACCTACATCTGGATATCTTAAATTCTGGCTCGTATACTCTCTACAGAAAGGTCATAATGAATAAGCAGTGAACTGTAATTATGTCACATCTGCACATCCTGATTCAAAGATATGGACCTGTTTATTATGCCAAAATGTCTACTTTTGGCAGATAAATTCCTGTAGTTTTACATTTTTATCAGGACCCGTTACTGCACGGAAAAGAAACTAGACATGGCACTTACTTTTTTTGGGTTCCGAACGCACAGTGATGTTTATGTATATCATATATCATTCATCTGAATGTTTTATGTATGTCAGTGATCTTACTAGTAACAGGCAGTTTGACTGTATCTGGGCAGTCTTTCCTGACCAGATAAACAGCAGCCATGTTTGATCAGACAGTGAAACTTGGCCATGTTTCTGGTGGGTTTAGACTCATCATTTTAAATCCAACAAAACTTATATGCGTACTGTCTGCTGCACATTTTGACTGAAAACCTACATCTGGATATCTTAAATTCTGGCTCTTATACTCTCTACAGAAAGGTCATAATGAATAAGCAGTGAACTGTAATTATGTCACATCTGCACATCCTGATTCAAAGATATGGACCTGTTTATTATGCCAAAATGTCTACTTTTGGCAGATAAATTCCTGTAGTTTTACATTTTTATCAGGACCCGTTACTGCACGGAAAAGAAACTAGACATGGCACTTACTTTTTTTTTTTTTTTTTTTTTTTTAATGATACTTAAAGTGGACAAGACGAAATGTGTTATATTAAGGCTCCTTTTCCATTTTACAAACCGTATTCATGGTTTTAATCTTTGTTTGGAAAGGTTGGTAGTATATATGGAGTCAATGTATAAGACTGGATTGGGAATAATGTACGTTTGTATATAAATGCGTGTGTCTATATATTTGTTTGCTCGTTGTAGGTCATTTGGTAGCCACTGAGTCATGGTTTGGCCCCAGTGAGTGAACAGTGCTAAATTAGCATGGAAGGCGTGACCTCCCAAGTGTGCAGTGCCCCCACTGTGTGTTTTCACAGGCACTGCAGCCTCCAAGCGGGAGCTCCAACCCCCCAAAACTCTAATAAATGTCTTTGGTCAGCAACAAAGAACCCTAATATCCTGCTGCTGTGTGTGTGTGTGTGTGTGTGTGTGTGTGAGGTTATGCGTATGAGAACGGTTGTGAATGTAATTTGATTTTGCACAGGATCAGTGAAGTAGCTGGTAATTACCACACTGCTGTGATCATATCTGTTCATGTCCCTCAGGAATTTTGACACATTTTGAGAAATATGGACAAAAAGCCATAATTCCTATTAAATGTTTCAGTCCATCTCATTTCTTTTATTCATATATGCAGTGTGCCATGTTTGTGTTGGTCAGAGTTTGGTTGAAACGTGTTTACCAGCTGTCTTAAATCAGTTTTTCTGATTCATGGAACGGTTGCAAATATGATTGTCAGTAGTTCAATTTTTTATTTGTTGTACTTCTGAATATTAAAATGCTGCTTTTGTTTATGTACTTATGTAAGTATTTTTTTATATATATATATATTGAATCCTGTTAATAAAAATGGCATCTTATGGTGTTTATTAAATAAATTCATATCTGTCTCTTTTGTTTTTGATGTTGTTTACGCCACATCTGTTCAATTAGGGAATATTTAATTTTCCACGTTTGAATTTGAAACAAAATTCAATATTTTATACAACTACTTGATCATCTAATACCTTTTTTTGTCTTTTTTCTTTCCTGCTCTACTGGTCATGTTTGTGATAATATCTTGCAGTATTATACCCAACATTAGTTGTGTGATTATCATTTATTTGTCTAGATTTTTATATTCAAGTACAATATTACAAAAAAAAAATTTGAAATGTTTCTGCATGCAATAAGCAAATGAGACTAAGGTTTTTGTTTTCCGTTTTATTGCAAATGATTGTCTGAAACAAAAATCAAAGAACCTAAATGCAAAAATTGAAGCAAAAATAACATTTTGTGAAACGTTTTACAAAGCCCCTTTATTCTGCTGATCCTAGTGGTTATAGAAGCTGAGTACTGGGGCTTGTGAAAGATATTCACAAGCTTTTAAATCAAGGATAGTAACCAGAAATATTTAGAAAATAAAAGAGTTTATTACATGCTGTGTCTTATGTAGAAAACCTAACATTTCTTATAAAAAGAAAACAAATACACCTCCAATAACATTGAAAGGAAAACAGTGGGAAAAAACAATATATAGACAATTGTGTCGCTAAAAATAATAGAGCATTAGAAAAGACACTAGTTTGAGACTCCAGGCATAAGTGGTGGGAAAAAAGATTTCAATGCACATTTTGCAAAAACAATTAAGTGCAAGACAAATAATTTCTTAACAACTGATCTCATGGCATTTACCATTTCAAAAGACATTTAAGTATTTCGAAAAAATTGTGGAACAGGTTTCTTTAATCTGTGAACCAGCAACAGCCACAGACGGTTTAATAAATACAAACCTAGATGAACAGCTTTTCTGAAGGGTAAATGTCATTAAGCCTTTATACTTCATTATTGAAGACCAAGTGCATTTGCTTGTTCACAGAGAGTGTCAAAGACACGTGAAAAAGTTGTGTAACTTCCTACTTACCAGTGCCATCTTATACAGTCACTGTGATCATATTTGATATCCGATGACAACCGTATATCTATTTAAACATTTGCTTCCTCTCTCTCTCTGCTCACTCTATAGTTCATCACACATGTCCCAATTAGAAAGACATGCCCTCGTGCAACAAAAGAACCTCAGTAGGAAATAACTGAACTATCCCCTGTGCAAGGGACAGTTGGTAAGACAGTGGCAGTCAGCCAGCAGCAGCAGCGGTGCCTAAAGGGTTTGAGTGAACTAAACTCCTGCTAGTCTGAGTCAGAGTCACTGCTGGGTGGAGGGCTGCACTCATGGATAGCTTCTCCTAGGGGCGCTAGAGTGCCATCCTTCCTCACTCCCATTGGTCTGATCAGTTCTTTCCTGTAGAGAGAGAAGAACACAGCTCAGTACTTTTGCATGTTGTGTCCTACTACTGCTTTGCATGTTCACAATGTCACATGCAAATAATCGGAGAGGGAGATACAACCAGCATGAATGACCAGCCTCAGTAGAAACTTCTATTTCTTCTTGATTTACTTTGTACACATAAAAGGAAATAACAATCTATTTGTGTGTATCTCTATGCATGTTTGTAACATAATATATAACTACATATAAGATTATATAATATTTTTATAACAAAAATATAAACATTTTAAAAGCTTTGGGTCAGTAAGACTTTTTTTACCCCCAGACATTCATACATCTATTCAGCAAGGATGTGTTAAACTGATCAAATATGACAGTAAAAATTCAATTAAAAAACAGTTTTTTTCCCCCTTTCTTTTCATTGAAGAATCCTGAAAAAGTATCATGGTTTCCTAAAAAATATGATGCAGCACAACTGGTTTCAACACTGATAAAGGATCATGTGACACTGAAGACTGGAGAAATGATTTCTGATAATTCAACAGGAATAAATAAATATATTCAAACATAAATGGTTCTTTAAAAAATAAAATAAAAACAAAGTTTGAAGGTATATTAATAGCAAAAGTGGTATTAAACATGAAAGTAGTAAAATAAGCACAAACTCCAGAATCCAGTGACCATCATTTCCTCTACAAGATTCATTGTGCTCACGTCTTGTCGATTTTGTTTTTCAGGCCACTAAATTATCACCACAATCCACCTGCTCTTTGAAAGAAACCCTTTGTACTGATCATTGTAGCTGCATTCAGTTCTATCCTCTAAAGAGGCCTGTTGATGTGTAGAACATCTTTCTTTGCCTTTACATCTAGCCACATAAGAGCTCTTGGAATCACAACCTAAGAACCCCGACGACGCCTCACGCGCAGGCTGAAGAAGATGACGCGAATGCGCTCAGGACAGTTCAGACATTGCGTTGAAAATCAGAGGTAAAAAACGATATAAATACTGTTCAGTTTCTTGCACAGACCGATCGTTTTGTGTCTTTTCACATCAATGTATCATCACGAGCCGCAGGGTTTAATTTGGTTTTGTTTGTGTATGTTTTATGACTCTCAAAGCCGTGATTCCCATCCACTGACATTATAGGACTGACAGACTGCAACGGCTTGTGTTAAAAATATCCGTTTGTGTTCTACTGAAGAAACAAAGTCACCTACATCTTGGATGCCCTGGGGGTAAGCAGATAAACATCAACTATCCCTTGAACTATCCCTTTAACCACTGCACATCCAGAACTTAATTTGAAACTCCTAGTTTTATCAATATTGATTCCTAAATCTCAAGATCGATCTTCTAGTCTGTTTCAGTGTGAACTTCATTAGACATTATATAGTGCACCTCCAGTCCAATAATTGCTGTCATGAAAACAAGTTGACAGCCACTGTGTAAATGATTATATTTCAATAATGAATTGGAGTAGAAATTGTTAGATTTTTAAGTTAATGTATAAACTGACTTATGTGCAATTTACGCTTGCATAAAATTGTTTATTTGAGTGTTGATTATTATATCTAAAAATAAAATAAACTTAAAATATACCTTTAATATTATTGTAGTGTGCAAATAATAGGGTTCCCTATATAGTTCACAGCATTAGCCAAGATGTTTTTATTATTATTTTTTTAGAAATGTTTAATTATAATTCAATTTATTTAAAGACAAATCATGTGTTCAGTAAACCACTGTTTAGTAAATAAAAGAAAAATGAAGCAATTTTATGTTTAGTTTTTTCCCACCTGCTACACCAAAAAAGTACTGAACCGTGACTTCAAAACTGAGGTACGTATCAAACTGTCATTTTTGTGCACTGTTACATCCCTAATTTCCAACTATATTTTCCCTGATTTTCAGGCATTGACTGCATTACTGTCTGCCAAAGTACTCCTTGACGTCAAACACACGTCATGATGAGTGTAAACAGGATATTTAGTTGACAAGAAGGAAACAAAGATGTTTCCTCTGCATCCCTTGAAAACGCAAACCAAAATCCAAGACAATCTCTTATCTAATCAAAAGCACATGTGCTGATAAGCAGCCGGAGCAATTGTGAGTTTACGTAGGGTTTTGTGTGTGTGTGTGTGTGTGTGTTTGTGTGTATATGGGGTGAAGAGTCAGTACTAATTGGACAGCAGACATAGGGAGGGACATTCCTCCATGGACATGTTGCGTCTCCCCAGCAGCCGTAGTGGGGAGCACCAGTGCCCTCCCTCTCCCACACAACACCTCCTTCATCCTGATAAAAAGAATAGGAGGAAGACAGAAGGAACGAGGATCCATTCTCAAAGAGGAATCTGCCTCTCCTGGGCACACGCTTCTCATTACGACTCAAACACCCTATGGATGGACAAAGGCGCATACTCTTGCGTTTGCAAACTTATTTAACATCGCCCGCAGCTAACGTACATATGCACACCCCTAATTGAACCAGTGTCTCAAACCACTTCACGTCCGAGGACAATGTCTGGCACCACCCTGGCTAAATAAAACTGGCGGCGTATGAAAGAGGACCACGTATATGTAATATAAAACCTCAGTGTATTGTACAAAAGAGCCTGAGCCCGCGACCCCACTGTGTGCGCCAATTAGCTGGTAATTAATGCAGCGGGGTTACGGTGGCTGGTCGGTGTGCATTGACTCCTGCTGAATGTGGAAGGCCAGCTGTAAATGAGGCAGAGGACGATGGTGGAGGATTCTTGTCTTAATGAAGCGGTTGGTAAGGAGCGTGGACAGAGCAACGGCGCTACACCTCTTACCGGTGTCTCACTAGTTTACGCCACCGGTTGTTTAAGAAAAGGTCAACATGAATGCGGCCCCACACATATCGAGCCTCTGAGGAGGGTGATGAGAAAACAAGCACAATGCTTCTAGAGGATGGAGTCATCTATGAGGGCATTATGAACAGGCTCATACAAGATAATGAAAAACAAAGAGAAACTGACTGATATTAGTGAGCAAGACTAAAAACACAAAGCCTAGAATTTACACTGCAGCAAATACAACGGAAAAGGCATGCATTAAACTAAAAATTGGCAACTTCCTTTAACTTCAAATTTCTTATTTACATTTTAATTGATTCTTAATGTTAAAGCATGTTGATATGTAAACTGACCACTGAATAAGTGGAAATGGAAGAGCCAGACCATATCTGCATGTCTAAATTTCCAAATGAATGGAGTAAGCATGAATAAATCTTAATTTCAGTGCTTAAATTGGATTCTTTAAACCAAAGAAAATTAGGACAAAAAATGAACTGATAGCCTCGTAAAATACAATAAAAAAAATAACAATAAAAATAAAATATAATAAAAAATACAACTATGAAAAATAATTATATTTGTAAAAAAAAAATCCCCAATATTTACAAACTGTAAATATTCAATTGCATAAATGTTTAATTGGGACAAAATAAAAACCCACCTTGATAATTCATCAATCATATTGACAAGCTTCTGAGCTTCATAATCCTTTTGCTCCTCTGTCATCTCCTCCATAGGGTTTGGCATTGGGTGCTCTATGTGACCTGTGATGGGGTTAATGCTGAAAAACACAAATGATTGTCACTATAATTTATGAATGCAGAAAGAAAACAATAATACTACACAAAATGATCAAATGTATTAACTTCATTAAGAAAATAAGAACAGCAGTTATGCATTCATAAAAAGACACTTACAATGGTTTGGCTGACTTGTACTCCTCTGTGTCAGAGTCCTCATCAGATGAGTACTGTGTCTCTCCTCTGCCTCCGGCCAGCAACCCTCGTGCCATCAACAGTCCCGCAGCATTACCATATCCAGTGTACTTCAACAGATTATCCACTGTATCACATAAACAACAGGAGAAAATGATGTGCAAAAAATCTAATTAGCTCAATATTAATTCTTGTTTTGTTAAACAGTGAAAAATTCACACAAATGGCAACATAAATGCCTTTCAAAACAGTTTCATATACTTTTAGAAACATTAAAAACAAGCAGAACTCTCACCGCTCTCCTTGCAGAGCACAAAGAGAAACTCCGCTGCCCCCTGTTTCACTGCCATGTCTATATGCGTCATGAGACGCACCAGTTTGTTTCGAACGGTGCCGCCGATTTCTGGCCTTTCCTTCACGTCCTTCAGGGGAGGCAACACCTGTACAAAAAGGAAAAAATAAAAGCTTTAATCAGCAAATAAGGAATAGTTCACCAAAAATGAAACTTTACTCACCCTCAGGCCATCCAAGATGTAGACGGGTTTGTTTTTTCATTGGAACAGATTTGGAGAAATTTTGCATTATATTACTTGCTCTCCAATGGATCCTCTGCAGTGAATGGGTGCCGTCAGAATGAGAGTCCAAACAGCTGATAAAAACATCACAATAATCCTGTCCTTCAATTAACGCCTTGTAAAGTGAAAAGTTGTGTGTTTGTAAGAAACAAACCCATCATTAAGATGTTTTTAACTTTCAACCGTTGCTGCCAGCTAAAATTCAAGTCCTCTATTCATAATATTGTCCTCTCCAGTGCAAAAGTCGTCTCGTCTGAATCAGAAGAGAAATATGCACAGATCAAGCAGTGTTTACAAGTGAAAACAGTCCAAAACAGTTCTAAACAAATATATTAGTGGAGTTTGGTGTGAGAGGACAACATGGGCAAGTGCTACTATGGATTATAGACTTGTATTTTGGCCAGAAGTGACCTTAATAATGGATTCGTTTCTTACAAACACACAGCTTTTCATTCACAAGGATTACTTGTGGATTATTTTGATGTTTTTATCAGCTGTTTGGTCTCTCATTCTGATGGCACCCATTCACTGCAGAGGATCAATTTCTCCAAATCTTTTCAGATGAAGAAACAAACTCCATCTCCATCTTGGATGGCCTGAGGGTGAGTAAATTTGAAACAAAAGTTCATTTTTGGGTGAACTTTAGCTGAATATCTAAATCACTGAAGAAGCAACATTAAAGCAAATAGTCTTAGTTTAGAGAGCAGTGAATTACACTGAGAATGGACTCAACCCTGCACCTGGGCCTTGAGGTATCTGCGAATCTCCCTGTGGTATCTAGAGCTCTCTGTCATCAGACTCAGCACAGGTGTCAAGCCTTCTTTATAGTTGATCCCCTGAGTGGATTAATACACACAAAGCATGAACAAAAGCAACAAGTGGAATGGCTGAGCAACAGCTTGCAGGTGTTCATCTGAAGTGCAATACCTTGTCTATCCTCTTTTCCATAAAATCTAGCAGTATCTGCACTATGTCCACGTTCTTCCCACCGTACGTTTCCATCCCACCTTGGACAGGGACGTCTATCAGAACATCCAGGCACCGCACGGGAAGGTTACTCAGAAGATTTATGGCATGACTAGAAGAAATGACAAATGATAAAGGTTCAGCACACAATGCATTAGGGCTGCACGATATATCGTTTCAGCATCGATATCGCGATGTGCGCATCCGCGATAGTCACATCGCAGGATGTGTGATGTTTAGTATACTGATTGTTATATTTATACTGATTGTTTTCTTTGCACAGACACAGACATGGTGTCTACACCGGACGCGACAGCTGTACAGAGATATCCATTTTAAATAAATTTAGTAGCAGAGCTACTGCAAGTGATTTTCAGTGCTGGAAATCCATTTATCCTTTGTTGAAACTTCCGCGTCGTCGTGGAGAGCGACAAAGCGTCAGTTGCATATCATTTGAACTTTGTGTCAGTACGTCATAAAGAGAACGAGGCATCAGTTTACTGTCGGGGATTTGTCGCGCCGCGCTGCATCCAGTGTAGACTCGGTGAGAGCCACACAGATGCACGTGAACACTGAATACTGTTCACTTCTGCGTCTATTTGTGCCTGAAATACTGTGCTCTGCAAGTATCCTTGTAAATGCAGTTGCTTATGGCTTAGGCGAAGGGAAACAATTGAGAAAGAAAATGGATGTGTAACAGTATATAGGTTCACAGCAGTTTAATGTTCCTGTTGCTTTCTCTGTCATGAACGTTATCAAACAACAAAACACAAAGAAAAATCACTTTTGTAGCTTTAACACAGATTTGTTAGATTTAATTTATAGTGAAAACTATGCAGTGTTATTTTACATTTGATTGTTCAATTTCTGAACCTGAATACTGTTAGACCTACCTGAAAAATATAAAGCACTGCTTATTTCATTTGTAGCTTTGTTCTGTTATTTATCTATGCTTGTAATTTGTTTATTTCCTATGCTGATTTACTCGCCTACAAAATCACCCCAATCATTGATTTTGTTTTTTTTTCCCAAATAGAGCTACACTTTATTATTTTTTTTTTTTAAGTCATATGATTTTTTTTTCCATATCGCAGAAAAAAAATATAACGCAATGTGAGTTTTTTCCAATATGGTGCAGCCCTACAATGCATGATGAGAACATAATATGCAACTCCTGGAATAAGGTACCTTTCTGTGAAGTTGGTCGTTGACTGCAAAGTTTCACATAGAAATTGATTCTGTCTGATAACCAATATGCAGAACCCATTTAAATTAATTCAATAAATTCATATTTCTGCTTTTTGTAATAACTTCATGATCATTACAGTATGTCAATAAAATCATAATATGTACATATGTATGTAACAACAACTATTAAAAGAAAATAATATTCATTTATTACATACATATTTTATACAAATAATAATAATAATTATTATTATTATTGTTATTTTTAAGCAACATTTTGCAATCTAAATATTTAATCTAAATTATTATATAAATTAAAATGAAATACTTTACAGATTAATAGTATTAGAGTGATATTTCTTTATTGATTTATTTTCATAAATTAAATAATAAATAAATAAATGTGTTTCCCCAATTAGTTTTTCCTGTTTTCATTTAATAATGCACATACAGTTTCATGGCCAGTAAAAACTATTTATGGCCAGTAAAAAATTTTAAGTCACCGGCAATTGGCAGGTATTGCAAAATGTTAGTTTTAAGCCCTGTTTGAGAATGATTAACTTATTTAGAAATATGAAACAATACATTAAATCAATTGCTTGACCTGTTAATATCATTGTTGGGGTTATTTAGTTAAAACAAACTGCTTCTCACATGTTGGCACCTAATACAAATGGATAGTAAATATTTGTATGCTACTTTCATCGGTTGATTTTATAATCTTCTCTTGATGCAAAAGAACATTCAGCATACTCATGTCACATTCTAGGAATGTGATGTCAACAGACAAACATGAGGAGGCATTCTGAAAACACTGAGAGGTGGGGGGACCTTCAGTCCGTGGGCATTATTTGAATAACAAAGACACATCTACTGACCAGGACTGGTTCAGCACATTCAGCGCACTTTGTTAAAGGGGGAGCAGAGAGTTAGTCATTTCAGAGTGCTGTAGAATGCATTGAGAGAGGGTAGCATTCCAAAAGTGTGAAAGGGCTGGTGACGGCACCACTGTGGACACAATGAGTCAAGCCCAAATAAACGGGTGGGAGTTTCAGAATGCGTTGAGCTGTCTCGATGGGGCAAAGGGGTGTGTCATTAATCACTTGGAGAAGACATCTCATCATTCACATTCACCGCACTTGCATTTCTTTTGCTTTCTGGCTCACTGGAATACTGGTTTTGAAGCAAATATAATAGACACAGGCCTATACAGAGTGAACTAGATTCATCTGTCAGTCTTCTAGTGTGGAAGTACCTGTGAGCCTCCTCTGTTTTATCTTCAGTGTTTGTCTTGAGCATTAGGAGATGTCTCGTGATGCCTGCAATCAGCCGAAGCTGGTGGTCATTGTCCTATCAAAATAAAGGAAGAATTGTGTGAGTGTTAAACAAAAAGGCTTTTTCACAACAACAGCAGTAGAGAAAGAGTCTCATGCCATGATGGGGCTTCATTTACAAATAAACGACCTGAGAGCTTGGAGCCAATGGAGAGATTTAGGGACTAAGAGAACCACTGGTTTGAGAAAAGAAAGTGCATCTTATGTCAAGGTGATCTCAACCATACCGAAACCAACAAAAGGGCAGGCAATTGAGACACACTTAGCCTTACTTCAATGATCATTCAAAGGGCTGAGAACACTGGAATGCATCAATGTTGTTTCGTCTATATTTGATGAAATGGTGGGGGAAGGAGCTTTTAACATTTAAAATATTAGCATTTAAAATATAGTAAACCTCTGCATCAAAAAGCCAAAGGACTTGAGGTATAATAAAAGCACCTTTTAAGGAAAATAAAAAAAAATGACTTGACTTTATCAATTAGCCATTAGATCTTTTATTTAGAATGCAGGACTTATGACCATATTACACATAAACCTAGGATGTCAAGCAACAATGGTCGCACTCGCAATGATGCAGAGACATAAGATTCTTACCAAAGAATAAGAAAAAGAGGCCAAAAGACTACAGAAGATATTATAAAGCTAGATAGTATGTTAAAATTATTAATGCCAATGAACCTATGACCTATTTAAGAGAAAGAAACCTGTCTTCCTTCATTGTAATGGGGGCAAAAGCACTGGCTCCACTCAGCATCAATTATTCAACAGCAGTATAACAGCAAACCAATGTTCCCTCTAAGCTGAAATAATATGCCACGCACAGGACACACAAAAAAATGAGTAGGCAAAGCCATTTGATTGAATTCTAGTAAATGCGAAATAATTGCAAAGCTCGGGCAAACCACTATAGAGTTGGTGTCGCTATAGAGTTAGAACCGGTGAATGTGGTTTACAGGTTTCATCGAAAGAGAATGATGTGCGCTAAATGAGTCGCTGTAGAAATCGAATACTTTAATGGTTGCGGACTACATAGCTCAACACGACAGCCAACGCAAACGTAATGACATGTGAAATAAAATGTCATCATGCTTTAAAGAAGAGTGGCTTGATTAAGTGGTGGAAAGTGGTGGATGATGAGCTCAGAACGGTAGCAAAACTCCGAGACATTTACAGTCACACACACACACAGGTGTAGTAGTGTGCAAACTCTACAACTCTAAACTCTACTCAGATAACTATATAAGTATTCACACGTTCACGTTTTTTGAAAATATTTAGTTTACAGATCTCAGTTGAAATGCTTCAGTTTGTTTTCTGTTCTATTTTATTCTATTCTATTCTATCAGTTTAAATAACCACTGGTTTGAGAAAAGAAAGTGCATCTTATGTCAAGGTGATCTCAACCATACCGAAACCAACAAAAGGGCAGGCAATTGAGACACACTTAGCCTTACTTCAATGATCATTCAAAGGGCTGAGAACACTGGAATGCATCAATGTTGTTTCGTCTATATTTGATGAAATGGTGGGGGAAGGAGCTTTTAACATTTAAAATATTAGCATTTAAAATATAGTAAACCTCTGCATCAAAAAGCCAAAGGACTTGAGGTATAATAAAAGCACCTTTTAAGGAAAATAAAAAAAAATGACTTGACTTTATCAATTAGCCATTAGATCTTTTATTTAGAATGCAGGACTTATGACCATATTACACATAAACCTAGGATGTCAAGCAACAATGGTCGCACTCGCAATGATGCAGAGACATAAGATTCTTACCAAAGAATAAGAAAAAGAGGCCAAAAGACTACAGAAGATATTATAAAGCTAGATAGTATGTTAAAATTATTAATGCCAATGAACCTATGACCTATTTAAGAGAAAGAAACCTGTCTTCCTTCATTGTAATGGGGGCAAAAGCACTGGCTCCACTCAGCATCAATTATTCAACAGCAGTATAACAGCAAACCAATGTTCCCTCTAAGCTGAAATAATATGCCACGCACAGGACACACAAAAAAATGAGTAGGCAAAGCCATTTGATTGAATTCTAGTAAATGCGAAATAATTGCAAAGCTCGGGCAAACCACTATAGAGTTGGTGTCGCTATAGAGTTAGAACCGGTGAATGTGGTTTACAGGTTTCATCGAAAGAGAATGATGTGCGCTAAATGAGTCGCTGTAGAAATCGAATACTTTAATGGTTGCGGACTACATAGCTCAACACGACAGCCAACGCAAACGTAATGACATGTGAAATAAAATGTCATCATGCTTTAAAGAAGAGTGGCTTGATTAAGTGGTGGAAAGTGGTGGATGATGAGCTCAGAACGGTAGCAAAACTCCGAGACATTTACAGTCACACACACACAGGTGTAGTAGTGTGCAAACTCTACAACTCTAAACTCTACTCAGATAACTATATAAGTATTCACACGTTCACGTTTTTTGAAAATATTTAGTTTACAGATCTCAGTTGAAATGCTTCAGTTTGTTTTCTGTTCTATTTTATTCTATTCTATTCTATCAGTTTAAATACTTCAGTTTGTTTTTATATTATATTATATTATAAACCTAATAAATAATTGACCTTAAAAAGGGAATTCATGAGAAATATCTGCTTCATTTTTAATTATAATACATTTCATTATAATACATAATATTATCTTGTATTATATTATAACAAAGAATTTAACTGTTCTAATTTTTTTGTTTTATTTTTTTAATAGAATTTCTTGGTAACACAGCACTGTAAAAAATGTTTGGTAACACTTTATTTTAAGGACCAATTCTCACTATTAACTAGTTGCTTATTAGCAGGCATATTACTAGCATATTGGCTGTTTATTAGTACTTATAAAGCACATATTAATGTCTTATTCTACATGACCGTATTTTAGATCCCTTAATCCTACCCCATACCTAGACTTAACAACTATCTTATTAACTATTAATAATCAGCAAATTAGGAGTTTATTGAGGGAAAACTCTTAATTAATAGTGAACGTGTTTTCTATTCTAAAGTGTTACAAAATGTTTTCTCAGGTAACCTAAAATGTGCATTATTTAGTTTCATCAAGGGTCAAATCAAATATAAATGGTACATTAAAGTTAAAAATTACACACTTTTTCGTGTGTGCACTGTACAGGTCTGGTGTAAAGAATATTTTTGCTCAAGTGGCTGAAATGTCCGCCCAATAGAGAGAGGTTTTGCTCAGCAAGAAAAAAAAAATGAGGGAACATGCTTCAGTTTCAAATATGCAATATTTGCATATTTAAAAGAATCTTAGTAAGCAAACAGTTAGTAGCCACTGACTTCCATAGAATGGAAAAAAATAATATGCAAGTCAATGGATACCCTGAGCAAAATATCATCTTTTGTGTTCAGCAGAAGAAAGAAACTCATACAGGTTTGGAACAACTTGCAAATGAGTAAATGATGATGGAACTTTCATTTTTGAGTGAACTATCCCTTTAATAGTCAGGCTTTCCTTAGGTTAATTGTGTGTACTACACACTATAAGTAGATGTAAATTAGGGCTGCACGATAAATCGCATGCGATATTTAATGCGCATCTTGTCAGTAAAGCCGCTTCTGTAATCAGCGGTAAATCTCCATCACGTGCGGGCTTTCACATTGAGCAGCATTTACTACACAGAGCCGTTGTTCACTGGCAAGCTGCGCAAAACCACGTTCATAATCGCGCAATTTTTTTGCGCAGCTTGTCAGTGAACAACGGCTCTGTGTAGTAAATGCTGCTCAATGTGAAAGCCCGCACGTGATGGAGATTTACCGCTGATTACAGAAGCGGCTTTACTGACAAGATGCGCATTAAATATCGCATGCGATTTATCGTGCAGCCCTAATGTAAATTCATCTAGCAGCAGGTTTGTAAAAGGCACAGTAAAATAGATATAAAATGTTATTTTGCTGTTCTACAAGTACTGTTACTCTCACCTCATTGCTGGAATCAGACATAGTGATGTTGAACAGAGCTTTAAGGGCTTCCATGGCAAGCCCGTTGTTTTCTGGGGAAATGGGCAGGGCTTCTGGTTTAGGGGGCGTGGCCTCATATGGCCCCACCCAATGGACGTCAAGGGTGCGTTCCAGTATGTCAGTGAGCAGCCTCACCGCGCCCGCCTCCTTCCGAAGCATGCCACGCACATCCGTCCGCAGGGCGGAAAGCAGAAACAGCAGCCGAAGGGAGAACAGGCCCACCTCATGATGGGACGAGCTGACCGAATGCAAGTGGGCACACAGGCCCTCCGCCAACTTCACTTCAGCGCCCACCTGCTGTGCCGGCACGCTGTTAAACACCACGTTGCACAGGCACTTGAGGGCTTCCACCACAACCCTTTCCTCCTCTGCTGACTGCGCCTCCTCTAACAGCTCTCCGTCGTGTCCCACCACATGGATCCGGGCCAGTCCTGCTAGAGTGAGGATGCCCTCTTTGGTGGCTACGGGTCCAAGTACACGCTTGTCTCTGGACAGGATGCGCAGGGTCTCCAGGCAGGTGCTTTGGCAAAGTGAATGATCCGATCGACGGAGGACTTTAAGAAGACCCTGACAAAATTTCTGCAAAAGGGATCACAAAGCACAAGAGGTCATTGATCATTTTAAATAAAACCAGGTACTGAAATGACAAGGAACATACCAAATTGAGATCGTTTTGAAATACAAAACAAAACAGACCATAAATCTGTTACTCACAATTCGTGCATCCTCCTCTTTGTGGTCAAAGGCAAACGTGTGGCTGTTCTGAAATGAAATGTCAACAGGACATGAGACAATATAAATCTGAGATAAACAGATCCAATGCTTGGATCCATCTCAAACCATAGAGTAGCTAGACATGAGTAAAACAGTTCACTAATTTTGCTTAATTCTGTGCTGGTAGCTGATTTCTATCTGGTCTAAGCTGGTTGATCAGCTATGATGTTCCATAAACCAGCTTAGCCACTTTAAGGAAAGCCATTGCAGGCAAAATCATTATTTTTTTATGCACTGGTCAATTTTTGCTTCCTTTTTTTGCTTCCTTGTCTGCTTTCAGACTACTAAAAAGAAAACATCCATGATACACATTTACTGTAAGTGTTTACATTATCACACTTTATATTTTAATTACAATACATATATTTTTAAAGGCCGTTTTCTCAAAATGAGTTTTTTGTCCATGCACGGATTCAGAATTCACCACTTCAGCAGCAATTCAATTTTCAGATCTGTGTTCTGGAAATATAGGCCTATGAAAATTAGTGCTTATTTAATAAGATAATGTCTGGTTTGCATAATTAAAAAATGACATTTTAGTAAACCTGTAATACAAAACTATTTTTGATATTGTTAATGTAAGTACTCATCAGGGCAAGTATAGCGATATTTTATCCAAATTTTATCCTATTAACAAGGAGTACTTTCCTTAAGCTGGTATGGATTGTCCATGATGAATTTCATGAATCACAGTAACAGTACCAGTCTCTTTCTGAAAACTGTTAACTACAACTTAACTAACAGTGGTTTAGTTTACCAATGGCTGTTCCTATAGGAATAGGTAACGTTACAGGAAAATCCTGTATTCTTGAGATTTCCTCCAGAAATTCAGCATCATTAAAATAAGGTAAACACCAAATATGTGGTTAAAATTGCTCTTCACATCAGAAGAATCCATACAGAGGTTGATAAACCTGTTAGAACATTATTTCCAACAGTATTTTCTCCTTTTACGTATCTGACAGCTGTCAATCTAAGCTACTTTAGCCTTTCACAACTATTAACATCCAACACAACAGTTCATTTCTACTCTATTCGTCTGCAATTACCATTTTTCTTAAAAGATTTCACACACTGCTCATTCATGGGGGCAAAATATGGCATCTTTGTTTGAAAGTCAAGCTGGGTATCAAATTGGTATCATGGCTAACAGCTGGAAGATGCTAGTTTACGATCCCAAAGCGAATGCCTCGTGGCTTTAATCACTAAATACAAAGCAAATACACATTTAAAGTTCAGAAGCAAAGCATTTTTGCACTGAGATCATACATTTTTTTGAAGGTTCATACACACCGGGTATATTGAGATTAACGGGCGGCTAACTCGCTAATATCGCCACTGCTAGCGCGCATTAAAACAACATGAGATAGTAAGCTAACAGCAGCCTCTTTACCTCTGTGTTATACTTCTGCAAAAGCTTTTCAACTCCCTTGTCATCTCCACCGTCGATCTCTGACAGAATAGTAGTCAAACTCATCTCTGAATGTTGCTTTTGCCGTCCACTTACAAACACTGGCAGCCCTTCTTACAACAACAGTACGGATGAGAGTTAAACACCTCCTCTGTTTCTCTCAGCTGTTCAACTTTCACCCGTCAAACGTCACATTTCTCACGCTTTTTCAAGAATCCTTAAGGCACATGGCAAATATATTTATTTCCTCAAAGCTGCCTGGATGGTGTCCAAATTCACCAGGCCATGTAATGATATTTAACTGGAAGAATTATGGTGGCAGAACAGCAAAACTTCCATCCTGCTGGAAAATCTAATTTAAGATGATAGCTAGTTGTTGATGGTAATCAGCTTGTGCAGGGTGACCAACAACAAACCAGCTACCAACTGGGTGAACTAATGACCAGCAACTATCCTCCCAAAACACAGATGGACTTTCCAACAGGAAATAGATGCAATAGCTATTATGTTTAGGTTCCTCTTTTGTAAATCGCTTTGGTGCCCGCAAAATGCATAGATGTAAATGTTTAGAATAAGTTTTCTGGACCAGCCTTTAAAATGACTTCGAATAGAATATATATCATCTTCAATAATGAGTTGCATCTTCATTAAAGAGCATAGAAGGATTTATCTGAAGGTTTGCATGCATGTACTTCCTGCGAAATATCAAACTCTGACCTTCACAGTTTTTATACATTTCTTTTTATGCTACATTTAATTAAAATGCCCTTTTCAATTAATACTTGAGAGGTTTAAAGTATTTTATAGTGCAAAGTGGAAATGGTAATGCACACATAAATAAATATGCATATTTAAATCAAAGTATCAGTATGTGACCATTTAAAAAGTGTAATTGAGTGCATGAATCTGATTTCTTAGACTTGATCTATCAGTGCTGGTTTAACAATTTAAACAATTCTGAAATGTAACAAGTGCAATATTGATTAGTTCAATGCCTGATTAGTGTCCATGTCAGTCCCGTCAGTATTTTATTGCTGTATATATAGCAATATACATGTACAATGAAATTCTTATATATTCCAAACATATAGACATACAGAGTAAAAAAAAAACACAAATAGAAGACAATATGAACTGGGTTTTAAAAAATCTTTATGTGGCAACAAATAAGTCCACATATATCATTTACATGGTAACAGCTGTCATCACAGAAGTTACTGAGTGCTTTTATTTACAAGAGAAAGTGACTAAAGATAATAAATGTTACATTTTCATATTCTTTCCTTTTTATTCCTACCCATAGGGTAATAGGTCCACAGTACCTTTGAGTGCATTCAAGAACACACAAACCTAGGTTAACACTTTTCGGTTCTTAAAATCATACAAAACTGGATATACAGTTCAAACACAGATAAACAATGCAAAGGGACACAATGTTACAAAGCTACAGAAAAGATTTCTAATATTCCCCCAGCCTCACACTGGAGTAATTCTGCATTTGTGTAAAATGAGAAATCTTATTTTTACGTTCGCATGCAATAAGTACTGACATGAGAGGCCTTTATTTGTTTGAACTCCTATGACGTACGTATTCTGGCAGCTGACCAAGAGGGCGTTCTGAGATAAAATATTAAAGCATTTCTTCCTGGCGCTGAGAATGTGTTGTGTTTATGCTAGGAAAATAGCACACTTTGATGTTGACAAAAAAAACACCACTGTGGTGTCATTAACATCACTGACGTCAAACACCCAGTCTGTGGTAACAGAACACCGTGAGATGCGTACATATTTACGTTGAAACAAGCTCAGCAACCAAGGTTTTTGCACAGTAAATGAATGAGTGGCCTATATTGCTCATGAGAGATAAATGAGAAACAGGCAGGGGAAAGGCACAACTGGGACACAGCCTTTTTGCACTCTCACAATGATTGCAATTCAAAAAGAGTTTCATTGGCAGCTTGCACTGTAAACACTGACCATACCAATAAAAACATCTCTGACACAATGTCATTCCCACTCAAATACATTCTTGTTAAATATGGGCTGCCGCTGGTTTATCTGTCCAGCTTTGCACACAGCTTTGCACATGCAGACATCGTCTCTTGGACGGAGACTCTCTGAAGGGTACAATCATTTTGCCCACCCAGTCGTTGCCTCCCCATTAATATAGGCGAATCCTGGAAAATGTTGTGCATGCTCATATTCAGAGTTCCTGCGTGGGGCGAGAGGGGAGTACATGTCTCCGGTGGGGTAGCGTGACGTGTGGACAGTGGGGCTGGAGTAACAGCTGTTGGCCGAGGGCACGTCCGGCCATCGGGGGGTCACCGCACTCGAATGTAGAAGCGGAGACCCACTCATCAAACAGGACTCCATTCTGGACATCTGTGGATACTAAAAGACAGAGAGAAACATGCATGAGGACTGTTACAAAATATCAGTAGTGGCTCATATGGCGCATTTTCTAAACAAACCTAATTTTCTTTCTTTGTTAATAAAGCAATAAGCCATTTTTTTGAGGCCATGCATAAGGAGTGTTTTTGCAATACAAAGTGCCTAAAACACCCTTAACCACAGTCAAATCACTGTATCAATTTTTTCTTTATTAATAAATATTTATAATAATAATAATAATAATAATAATACAGCAAAAAACAAGATGCAACAAAAATATGTAATAAAGTGATGAAAATGATTATAATAATAATATCATTAATAATAATGACAATAACAATAACAGCAAAAAACAACAAATATTGGTAGTAGTAATAATTATGATTAGTAGTAGTAGTATGGTATTTCTTCATTTTTTAATGATAATAATAATAACAATAACAGCAATATCAGTAAAAAATAAAAACCAACAAAAAAAATTAACAACAATACTACTACTACTACTAATGATAATAATAATAATAGTATGGTATTTCTTTATTTTTAATTTATGATATATAATAAGAAGATGATGACGAATAAGAATAATTATTTAAAGTTTTTATTATTATTATTATAAATTTTTTGTTTCACAAAAAAAAAAATCACTTTCACTGACTTTTAAATTAAATGTTCCCTCCCATCTATTTGTTTTCTTTTTATTTATTATACAATTAACAAAAGCAAAAAAATGCCTCTAACACTAGCTTGCTCTATTCTATCGGTTTTCTTTTTATTTATCATATAATTAAAAAGAAAAAAAAACCTTGCTACGTGTACTGCGTTAAGCTAACTGAGACTTGTTATAGCACTTGCGTATCATTGCTCTCTTGTTGATTTTGATTGCTTCCATTGTCCTCATTTGTAAGTCGCTTTGGATAAAAGCATCCGCTAAATGACTAAATGTAAATGTATTATCATAATCATAAATCAAAATAAAGAAATGCCATACTACTGCTACTACTACTAATAATAATAATAATAACAATAATTAATAATATTTTTTGCTGCTACTGTTATTATTAATATTTAAATGTAGAAACTTCTGACAGGAACAACTGACTAAACTGACATAAATTCTTCCCCTATGTTATGTTATTCAATCACATTTCTTTACAGTTAAAATGATGATGCCAGACTATCTAATAATTAACTAGAAGTGCAAAAATTCAGCATAATTTGAACATCTGTTCTGGATGCATAGAAGAAAAAGGTCTTTTAAGTTAACATAGCACTTTTTCTTAAAAGACTCCCAAAAAGGTATTTTTGTTGCTGTGTGTAACAGACCAAAAACAAAACTGAGCATGTCAGCTCAAGATATGCGTCTATATAAAACACTCTGTTCTCTCTGGGGAAGTCAGCATAATCTTCATTTGTCTCCTCTCCACTGCCTCCTTCAGAGTAGCCGTATCAAACAAAGCATGGACATTGTATCCATTTTAAGTTGACGGAAAATAAGTGGAAGTAAAAATCTATAAGTGCTCTCTAAATAGAAACCGTCTACAGTCAGAGCTTTTATGAACGGCTGCGGCATGGAAAAAAGTCAGGCAGGGTCAGAGACCAAGATGTGTTGCTTGGTGACCTCTTGTTCATGCAGAGAAAAGAGACCATTGAATAACAATATTTTAATAAACGCCTTTCCATCTGGATCTCTGGTCGCTAGTTGTGCTGACTGAGGCGGTCACAGAGTAGACAGTAGAGAGACATTGAGTGTGTGTATCGGGGGGTCTCTTGGCTCCAGTGTTGGGCAGTAACTAGTTACTGTAATAATATTACTTTTAGCAGTAACTAGTAGTGTAACTAATTACTAATAAGATTTCAGTAATAATATTACCATCCATCAACCCCTACTGATTTGAAATCCAACAATCCAATAATTCCTAGATTTATTTTCATAATTTTCACGACTCGCACAGGCACATGAAGTCACCAGTGCATCAGGAAAGCTTGGAATATGGAAAAGCTTACATTCAGGGGATGGAAATATTGCCGGTCCACCTTTCAGAGTCTGCATCCACTGTGTGGAGGAGAATTCAGCAACACTGCTTCTGAAACGCTGAGGCCCAGAGAGCTCTTGACATGAAATTACCATCACACCCGCTTTGACTTTTAATATATGTGATGCAGATTCCTGCCTCTCCATCCACAACCGAACAGTTTAATTCAACCATTCACACTCTCTCTATCTCAAGCACTACACAGAATAGCATTCAACTATTCACTCAGTTTCTGAGCTAGTAGCATGCAGCATGAGCATTTTGTATACACTTAGTATATCTGCATACTAAAATGAACATTTCACACACTGAGAAAACACACTGTCCACAATTCAGTAAACCAATGCAAATATTTCTGTATCTCCTCCTAGAGCTTTCAGGCCACCTCCACCAAACTTGGCACAGGCCTGCAGCCTGTTCTTAGTGTACTATATCTTTCCTAACTGATCAGACTAATGGTTTTCCTGTACCTGATAATCAAATCAAAGCCTATAAACATGTACTTTTTTTTCTCTAGGGTTCTCTAGAGGTTTAACAAAGACAATTAATTGAGCTTTTTCATCTTTGTTCTCATTCAGAAGTGAATCCGCTTTAAATACATATGCTAAATGACCTGTACTTCTGATCAGGAGTTCAGCCTATTACCCTAGTGTGTACTGAGCTAAGCAAGCATTATCTATCCATAAACCTCTGTGGATAACACTTACCAGAACATTTCAGATGCTAATGACTGTAATTCATCAAGCACCATTCACATTCACACAAGTATTCTTCTCTGTTACAAACCCTGCAAAAGAGACAAGGATGGAATACACTTCCACTCTAAATACTGGGGAATACACACCTATATCCATCTGTTATTAGTTTACTTTCTAAATGTTCGTTCCTGGCCTTATTGTTCATGATTCATCTTTGAATAAAATAGTTTGCTTTTTTGGTCTTTAATCAAAAGTGATTTTCTTCTGAAACAAATTTCCTTTTAGGTTTACGATAGAATCAATGGTTAAAATCAAGTCCAGTCCAAATTTTTTTTTTTTTCATTTAAATTTTTGTAAATATATAATAATAATAATAAATGTGTTACTAAAATTGTTTGCACATGCAATAAATGCACATGGAAGCCCATTTCTGCCACACAGAAAAAAAATATATTTCTTTGGTAAATCATAATTATGACAAAATAATGAGATATTGAGATAAAAAAAATTTAAAATATAAAGTTGGCAAATGTGACAGTCTTAAGATTAAAAAAGGCAAAATTATGATATACTACTATAAGTACTATAATAATTATGAGATCAAATGTAATATATCATAATTTTGACGTAGTATGTCATAATTTTGACTTTTTATCATAATTATGACTTAATTTCTCATTACTGTGACTTCATATCACATAATTGTGGCTTAGTATGTCATAAGTTTGACTATTATGAATCATAATTATGAGATAAAAAGTTGAAATTATGACAGTCAATTGACAAAAAGTCGATGTTTTGTTATAATTATCTAAATTATGCCAGTTTCTGACTTACGTCATAATTATGATTAGGGTTGCAAAAAGGTGGAAAATTTCCAGTAAATTTCGGAAACATTCCAGAAATTTTGGAAACTTTCCAGGATTTTTTTGGGAATATTCCAGGGATTTTTGGAAAGTTTCTGGAAACTTACTGGAAATTTTCCACCCCTTTGCAACCCTAATTATGATTTATCATAAATGTGATTTTAACTGACATTCAAACTTCTGTCAGACCTAGTGTTGTGAAACTGATGGTGTTGTCTGACAAAATTGTGAAACTATATTCTATAATCATGTGTTTTATAAATAGTTCAGAGCTTGTGGATAAAATAGAATCATAAAATAATACTGTATGATTTTATCATTTTGGTGGGAGGGGCCTAACCTGTGCGGAGGTCCGGTGGTATGAGGAATAATGCAGAGGGGTAGGCAGCCCTGGTTCGTGGGTTAAACTGGAGTACTGACTCTGGATAGCGTGATGGTGCTGGTTTGCGTAGCTGTTGTAATTATAGCTGCCAGTATAGAAAAAAAGGTACTGAGTACAAATCTCTAAAAACATTTCATAATCCACACTGTAATGTCATATTCAGCACATCATTTAATGTCTTATAATTCATTTGGGGGCTTACCCATGCTCATCCCGATGTGGGTAAACTGGCATCCTGTGGGCAGATGAGGAGCCATATAGAGGGGGTCCGCCTCTCATGCAGGAAAGCTGGGATCCAGTCTCGGGTGGGCTGCCACCTGAAGCTGTCATTGTGTATGTAAGGGACCAGGTATATGACTGAACAGCTCCTGGCACATACACAGACATACATATACAGAGAAACGTGTTTGGCTTGTTAATTAAATTATCTTACTGTGAGATGCATTTTTAATGGATGCATGAAATGGGCTGTGCAAAATTTACGGTTGAATGTGATACTGTGTTGTGTGATCTGAGTTTTAGAATCAGTTCTACACTATTTACCTGTGGTAGCTGATATGCTGGTGTACTCTGGAGACTGGGCTGAATTGGGGGAACCTACTGCTGGCACACCCACTGAGTGAACAGACTTGGCAGGAGAGAAGGGTCCAGGTGACGTAGATGTGGGTGTGGAACCCATGAGCATCAGCTCTTCCCCAGAATCTGCTATAGTAGTACAAAACAAAAGTCAAAGTTAAGACATTTTGGTGATTGTCTGCTGCAATCACCACGTTTTGCATGCTGGAGTGCTGGTGTAAGATTCCCCAGCAGATCAGATGTGTCCTGGTCAACCAGCTTAGACAACCTCTTCCACAAGACAGATCAGCACTACACCAAGCCTACATGCTGGTCTTTCATATGAAACAATAGTCAGAAATATCTCCGTTTTTGAAATGGAACAGTTTATATTGAACCTATAGACAAAATAAAAATCTTAAAAAATAAAATAAAAAATAAGTTTGCATAGGTGTTTTTGCAGCTTTTATGGCTCATATAGTATGAAATAGGAGAATATGGAGATCATACGCAAAGAGGAAAAAAAAACACCTCATTATTGTTATTCAAAATGTTATTCAAAAATTAGCAAAAATTTGCAATTTGGTGAAGCTGCTGATATTCATATGGCCAAAAAGTAAGATGAAATTCTGATAATTTGTAATGTAAATAAATGAGAACAGTATAGCAGACTACTTACATGAAAATTTATATAAATATCAGTTGTCACTCCATTTGTCCCAATAATATGTCTCAAGGTCAATTCACACTGCACCCACAGACGCAGATCAATGCCGACAGCCGACCAAGTACAGTACTTCACTTCTCAGATGTTTCAAGACCCGACTGATTCTGATTCAACATTTTCAATGCTGAATCTAGTTTTACAATCAAAGCTCTGTTCGTTTCTCAAAAGCTTGATGTGTCATATTTGATACTTGCATGGATAATCAAGTAAACCTAAGTTGCTTCAGTCCAGTAAGTGTACATTTTGAAATATCACTAACAATATAAAACTTATTTCTATTTTACTTTATAAAAATCTGTAAATTTCATAGTTAACCTACATACGAACATCGACCTGAAGAAGGACATTTTTAGAATTACTTAAAGGCCTTTTACTTGCTAAAAAAGTATGAACTATAAATCACACGACAGAAGGTATGTAGAATGTGTATTACAGAAGGTATGTGTACAACACTGAGTGTTTTGATCATACTGAAAATTTATAGAGCCATTATAGAAACTTGTGTCTCAAATTTAATATAGTGGGCTTTATAGGCTTAAATTAAACAAATTTTTTTAATCATATTTGAGGTTTGACTGTATGCCATTTATGCTGTAGAAACTCTCTTCAAGTAAAGTCACCCACTGAACTAATGAAAACTATTATTTTTATGACAAATGAGCTTTCTGTGTTGGTCTCCAAACTGATGCCATGAGCGATCAGCTCTATTTCTTGTATCAAATGGATCTCACCTGGTGTCCCCTCTCCTTTCATAGCCCTCATCAGTTCATTGGCTCTCTCTTGGCAGTGCAGAGACTCAAGCAGGTATAGTACGTAGTCATCAAACATGAGGTGGATCAGATGGAATGAGCCTATCAATACAAAAAATCCCATTTACCATAAAAAGTTAATGTATTCTACCAATTCAAGTCTCCTGTCCAAGTAATAAATGAAGGCTTTGTGGACCATAAAGGATTAGCTATCAAATGCAATTTGATTTGAATCTCGAATCGAAGCTTCAAGTAAACAAAATGATTTGATGTTGTTAATTGGCACAATACTGAAGCACATTTAAATGGTAAAAGCTCAAAACCAAGTCAGAACTAGCAGTCCAACCATAAACTCTACAGAGTTACTGAAGCATATGATGCTTTGAGTCCATGTTCTGAATGAGATGGGAGAAAGAATTCATAAGGAGCATGGCACAATCCTCGCATTGTGTTAGCAACTCCAGCCACTATGTGCATAATAAACATTGCGGCTATTCAGCGGACTGGGCGCAATACTGCCCGGTCATAAAATGGGAAGAAGGGGGAAAGTCTTGGTGGGGGTTAGCCTTTGTAATTAGCTGTTTTGTACAGAGAGCTGCATTATCAAAACACTGCAACCAGCTGTGTCTTTGATATTCACAGACAGAGCTGACAGGGAGGGGGACTTTACCTCTTTTATGGCCCTTCTTTCAGTTACTTTGCCATAGACAGCTAGGTGGTGTAAGCCAAGAGTTAGCAAAGCTGCCATCTTAGTTAAAAGTTGACACTTGGTGTTGTGGATTGAGAAACTTTTAGTTAACTTGACAAATCAAATCAGTTAAAAGAATATTCATATCTACTCTTCCAAATAGGATGATTGTGACAAAACAGTGCAGCCTGACTCACCGAAGCTGGGTGCACTATGTAGCGTCATATCCCGGATAACTCTGGTCCCGAAACACGACCACATGAGCAGGAACTGCTGAGCTACCCTCTTCAGACATCCGGGTCTCTTCCCCGCCACCTAAATGGAGTATTACCATGAGAAAAGCCTGGGGGAGGGCGCAGGTGCCTTAAACTTTGGGTCTAAACTGAGGTCTAACCGCCAAGAACGAAAAACATGTCAACAAGCCAACTATTTGATTTGCCCCTAAGGAAACACCCTCCCATTGAACTATTGTCTGGTAGGTAGCAGAAGTTCCCATGGAAACCAGATTTACAAGCCCATATCTGGACTATAATGGGCATGAAAAGGGGCCATGAAGACATTATTAAGTTGGGGAATTGCATCACGAAAGGTCTTAAGTATGTTGTGACGGCATTTAGAGTTGTATGAGTTGGACACCTGCAGTTTGGATTGGAAGAACATATAAAAAGTGCTTGAAAAGAGCTATGAAAAAATTCTATTCCTATTTAAATATCTCTATAATGAATAAATATAATATTTTAATAATAAAAATCATTTAGTACTATAAATGGTATATAGTGCCATACAGTACCATTTTTACTGCAGCATTTTTACAGTCTTTTACCATTAAATTCACGGTCATTTATATATATATATATATATATATATATATATATATATATATTCTATCATACTGCAAATTAAGTGTAAATTAAGCATAAAATGAATTTTATGGCCTGTACACTTACCCTCACGACACATCTCTCCACCATAGAGTCCAGCCACTCGATGTAGGCTTCAATGGGTGACTGGTCCTCCAGCTGTCTGTCAAATTCTTGATACACTTTGAAAAACAACAGAGAACATACAGATAGAGAGATTAACAATATATCTGAGTAGAAAGAAGAAATCATATGCATCCAAAATTAATAAAATAATTTTTCTTTTTTTTTTTTTCTTTTTTGAAGCATTCATTTCACAATATCAGTTTTAATTGCTTGCAAAAGTTGCTTACACATAATTGCAAAAAGACTACTGGCACAGACTTGAGATCACTGTATGAAATGTAGAGAGAGAGAGAGGAGCTCAGAATCCTCTTTTGAAGATGACATGACAGAATCTTTGAACTTTGACCTGATCAGTCATGTGAGAGGTTGACGCTGAAATGAATTTGAAATGCTCCTCAGGGTGTCAAACTGTGAGGGTTAACCTCTCAGTGTCTGTGGCTAAAGCTCGACTCTCATGGTCGTGGGAATGATTCAGTGCTGGTTGACAGCTACTGTGTGAAATCCAAAACATAAACCAGCAGGGCTTTTAACACAGCGCTGCATGTGATTCTGCTGCAATAACACTGCACTAAACTAGTACAGCACAGGAACACTAATAAATCATTCTAAATGAAACCGGCTAGGTCTCATCTAACACTTTTTCATTCAAATCTTACATTGGATGATAAGTCTTCTCTGGTCCTCTCTGGAGTCTTCCATTGTATAAAGAGTCTGTTTAGTGATGCTGTTAAGGTCTACGTTCCTCCAATCCTCAAGCATCTGAAAGGTGATGTCTGCACTGTGGATCACAGTTCGAGAAGCCTGCAAGAGCAAGTATATAATTTCACCCTGCACTGTGACTGATCATATGCATTTGTGAAAACATGATGCAAACATGATGGAGAATTGGAGACTAAGAGAAAAATTTTCAATATTAAAAATAAAATTGCTGTATAGGCTACCTGACAGAGATGGTTTAATGATGTCTGTCGTTTAAGTATCTGGGAAAATCTTCTTGACACTGAGAATAAAACATATATTTATTCAAAAATAGCCTTAGAATACCAGCAAGATTCGTTTTTGTTGTTTTTTATTCTCGAATATATTAGCACATACATTCAAACTTTATGTTGCGCAAGTTCTCAGGCAGGTCATGTAATGCCACCTTCAGCCACTCGTCCAGCTGCTTGGCAAACTTCCTGATCACCTGAGTGAGGCTGCATTATTCAAAGCACACAAACAAGGATATAGTGTAGTACATTACACAGTACAAAGGATGCTCTGACGCACTGAAATTTTTGACCTTTTGCCTGGGCAATAAAAATAGGAGTCATGCCTCATTTATGGGAAATCTTCCCATCAGTTTAATTACACTGACGTAAAAGTTTGATATGCAAATAATGCTAGCAATGATCCCTTTGGCAATAGTATTTAGGGTATATTATTAGCTTGAAGACAAAATTCCATTTGATCAAAGTTGATTGGTTGGTTGGTGTTTTAATGCCATGCCAGCTTTCTTGTCTATTTTCAAGGAGAAATGCCAATTTAAGTCCAATTTAAAAACCTACTTAAGGACTCTGGCATGAGGATCTTCATTTGATATTAAGAAATTGTGTGTGATTCTGTAATGTCTATTCGGCACTGTGTATATATGATCTGATTTCAGCTATTACTGAAAATAAAGATGCGGCTTTTACCACCAGTAGGGTTAATTTCATACAGCTTGTTGTTCTTACTGAGGCAGTTCTGATTATGTTGAATGTGAAATATAATGTCCAAATATGCACATAAAAAATCTTTATAAGCTTGACAAATCTTCGTTATCCTATTAATATGTGCTTTTACTTGATTTTAACTTTCTAATGACACCAAGCCCTCTTATTTTGTCAAATCCTCCCTTTTCTATATAGGTTCAACTTTTCTCAATCCACCCAAATCCCATAAATAAATCAGAATCAAATCATGTCATAATTGTTTTGTTTTTTTAATTAAATATCCAATTTCACTCCGAATTAAGTCACAATGAGGAAATAAAATGGGTTGCATTTAGTTCTAGGTACTGCAGAACTTTCCAAAACTGCAAGTGCATAAATTGTGTTATACACTTTTTAACAAAATCAAAATAGGCAGGAATGGGACTCACCTGTCAGGCAGAGCCTGTAGGACGGTGGGCATGAGGACCCCTGAGATTGCCTTGTACAATATGGAGTCACACACACCAACTATGTTCACCACTGTAGAGGAGCCCAGGACAGGGAGCATGTGTGGCGGCATGCCCTGCCAAAAGTGCAACAGGAAGCTCTGGACCTAGGCATATACACAAACACAAATAAACACTGCGATAACACATAATGCCACCAGATGAAAAAGCTTGAAGAAAAAGCATCAGAATGCAGACCTCATCAAAGTTGGCTCGTATGACTGTATCCAGTATCCTCTGGCAGTGAGTTCTGTACATCATGATAAAGGTTGAGACCTTGCAGAGAAAAAAAGCTCATTTAAATGACTTTTTATAATACTTTCCCACAGAGAATAATTCACTTAGTGTTAATGATGTCATACCAAATTCATTCCTGACTCATGGCCATGCATTAATAAGACACTAAAAGACTCTAACACTAAAGAAAGAGGATACAAATACCAAACAACAAAAAAGCTGCTTTCATGAACAATGCCTATTTACAGGGTCTTGCCAAACCAGTGTATAAAAAGAGGCTTTAAAGATCAGAAACTCACAAACCATTTAAAATTACAGGTGCCTTTTTAAAGCGAGACAGCTAGTGCCCATCCTTTGTCCAATGCAAGATCTTATTATCTACTCGAAAGATTAAGAGTTCGCTAGGAACCAACACATAAATCCTCCAGGTCCTCATCTAAATCCAGGCCCAGGGAAGGTCCGTCTGACACATGAAAGCAGGATCTAGGAGGGGTGGGTAGCGGGCAGGAGCTGGGAGAGGGGGGTTGGAGTTGGAGGTTAGCAGTTAAGAGTTTTAGTGATCTGTTTACCTTCTCCTCTGGCAGACTGGCAGGCAGATTTAAGTCTTTGACATTTGGAAAGTCTGGCAGGAGAGTGCCCAGCTTGGAGCGCGGTGAATACGCCACTGTCTGTTTGGTGACCACTTTCTTGCCCGTCTCGTTCACCCACGCAGCGCCCTTTTTAGAGTACATCACATCGTAGAACTGAGAGCTCTCTTTCACAGCGATTCCATAGTAGTGATACCTAATAGGGACAAGCGAGTGGCAGGTTGAAAATTATACACGAGTTGTGGTTTGTTTGCTGACTAAAGCAGTTTTACTAAAGCAGTCATGATTAGAAAGTGTTCATAATCTCTGCACTGGTACTTTTTTATACACATGGATAACTTTTTGTCATATCATCTATGGAGTGTAAATGGTGATACACCTCTCAATGCCTAAGATTCTCATAACTGCATCTTTTTTGACAGTTCATTTGGTGCTGTAGGTGAGATAAAGCATGAACAAAAGTTGTGTACTTTTTGTTTGGCATGAAAAAAAATGTAATTTCATAAATGATAAATAATTAATAATTTCTCTCTCTCCCTATAAATATATATATATATATATATATATATTTATTATATATATAAAATACGTAGGTATTAATACGTAAAATTTACAAGCACAAAACGTACACTTTTGTAAGTTTTTATTAATGCTAAAACGTACAATTTAGACGTATTTCAACGTTTAAAACGTACAAAGGTATGGTATATATATATATATATATATATATTTATTATAAATATAAAAAAGTGATCACCATGACATTTGGAAGAGAGCAACTTTTACACAGTGAAAAATAATTGTGAATAATTGTGCAAATTGATTACCAGATATAATTTTTTTTTTGGGGGGGCAGTGTTGGGGAAAGCTAAAAGTAATGCATTACAATATTGCGCTACTCCCCAAAAAAGTAACTAATTGTGTTTTTAACTTTTTATGGAAAGTAATGCGTTACATTACTTTTGCGTTACTTTTTCTCACCTGGGCTGGGCTTGCTAATAAAAAATAAATTAATAAATAACACTCTTAATTCAGCAATAAATTAAAAAAAAACATATGTTTAACTAAAGTCATTTTTTCCTTATTCGTATGGGTGAATTGGACCATCAAATGTGAGCAGTGAGATTAAACACATAATATACATTTGTGTTATTTAACCATCATGTTTACACGGCGCACACAACGCCTTAGCACTTACTCGCAATTTCTCTCAACATGGAAACAAAAGGGTCTCAATCAATAAATGGAAAACAAAGTAACTTGCATTATTTATTTGAAAATGTAACTCATATATTTTGTTGTAAATTTAAAAGTAATGCGTTACTTTACTAGTTACTTGAAAAAAGTAATCTGATTACGTAACTCAAGTTACTTGTAATGCATTACCCCCAACACTGCTTGTGGGCTTCTGACTGTGACCTACTTGACAAAACATATTTAAAGTGACATGACAAACGTAAAAGGTTAGAAAAGTTCTCGAATATTGAATAAGGAACTTACTTTGACTGGCCTCTGGTTCCTAGTCTCCGTGTGGTTAACTGAGGAAACTGTTGTCTTATTATCTGTTGGGATCAGGTAAAAAGAAAAAAAATACACATTTATTGAGCTTTTCTGGGCACATCTTTTGTGACATCAGTGTGTTATCTTTTACAATTATGCCAAAAATATCTTCTCAATTATCTTGTTAGATTCATACATGTCCAATGACATTTCTTTTCTCGCCAATCTCTCATTCTCTCTGTGCTTTTTGTCCATGAGCTCCTTGGTCCAGCTCCCGGTGCAGAAAACTTTGCAAACAGTGAAACTCTCTATTGTGTGGGATGAAAAAAAGAGGCCAAGCTGTGAAGTTTCTGTCAGGCTTGGCTTGATAAATGAGCAGACAGGGAGGCAGGTCCAGCTCTCTCTCTCTTTTTTGTCCCGAATCAATGAAGCCTTCCTAAAGGACACCCCACGCTGCTCCAGCCACTGATCTAACATTCCGCAACATCTCACCCTTCCAAATTTCCTTTAATTACACATTAATCCAGGCCCCCTCTCTTTTTCAATATCCTACATTCTTGAGTTTAAATTATTCCTCTTTTTTTATAAAATAAATAAATACATAGTATGGTTTAGTAAATATTTCAAAAGAAAGAAACAAGAGAAAAGGGCTTGAAAAAAATAATGTTTTTAAAAAAAAAAAATTTTAATTTATTTGCCAGTAAACTAGATTAAAAAACAAGATTTTTTTTAAAGAAGCTATTTCTCTCTGTAAGGTTGTAAGTGTTTTCATTTCTGATACTTGAATCCTGACAAATTTACAAGCTATTTATTAACTTACAAGCTATGCACTAACGTGACATTTTACAAAATTGAGCCCTGAAACTATATACAGATGGTTATATTTCTCAAAAACACATTATATTTCGCAGACTGAAGCATTTGTTGCTATTGGATGTCATGGATGTCACTTAAAATATCAAAGCTAATTATATATACAGTATATATATAATTTTACTATGGTTTAAAAACTTTCAAGAGTTCAACTGAATTGTGTCAGGACCCTCTGCGATCTCATAGTTCTCCTCCAGCCTGATGAAAACACAGTTCGGTCAGGGCACATGGAAAGCTAGTGTCTAGAAAACACTTCTCAAGGCATCATACGTCAAAATTAAACCCTGTAATGGAACATGGAGGGAAGCATAACTGTAGTTCTAAAACAAATATCATTGCCTTATCATCCAATTACACTGTATGTACTGGATTCAAGCATCGGCCAACATGAAATTTTAGTTTATTTGACAGACATACTTTCAAGTAGTGCTTTCAAAATGATATGCAAAATGTTCTTGCACTTACAATTTTGTTGTGGCATATATATATATATATATATATATATATATATATACACATTACGCCTTTTTTATTGTAGGCATATATGGCTGTCTTCACAGTATTTGTTAAGTCCTCTCTTTTTTCTTCTGAGATGAAACAAAATAATTATAAAAATTAAACGTTTAAAACCACAAGCGTTTCATTTAGCTTTCATTTATTATTTTCTGTTCCATTCTATTTGTAATTATTTAAACATCGCCTAAATTTCAACATAATTTATCTTATTCATTTCCATCAGCAGAAGCAACAGGTGCATAACCGCGCTGAGGTTTCTAAACTTAACTTTCTTTTTTTTTAGTTTTTCTCCCCACAGCTTGAAAAAAAAATTGCATAGTGTTGAACTGTAATTGTTCATTTGTAAATTCCATATAATTATTCTTGTTCACATGGTCGAGTGCAATAAACATCCGTAAACGTGGCTGTGTTATTGAAGCCACTGTCAATAGAGTTGAGGGGCATAATAATGACGGTGCAATTCAATTACAATCGATTGTGCGGATCTTTGGGCAGCTGGGATTCTATTTGTAATGTTTTCAGCAGAACTGCAGGAATCCCGCATTGTTCCCGAGGCGAATTACAAGCGCGCGCACGCTCAATTGATTCCCCGCGCTCCTCCATAGTGGTGTCGTCATAATAGAACCTTTTTAGCGCCTTTCTCGTTTCTGCTATGTAAGTAAGCCGGCTGGTGTCCTTACATCACAAAACAGAAACACTTATAATATAATTCGATTCGAACTTATGTCAATCATGTTGTCCCGCACGGGCCATGGCAACGGTCACTATAGCATCGGTTGCCAAGACTGCGAGTCGATTGGGAAACCAATAGCCTGCTGATGCATCATAATTATAAAAATTAAACGTTTAAAACCACAAGCGTTTCATTTAGCTTTCATTTATTATTTTCTGTTCCATTCTATTTGTAATTATTTAAACATCGCCTAAATTTCAACATCATTTATCTTATTCATTCCCATCAGCAGAAGCAACAGGTGCATAACCGCGCTGAGGTTTCTAAACTTAACTTTCTTTTTTTTTAGTTTTTCTCCCCACAGCTTGAAAAAAAAAAATGCATAGTGTTGAACTGTAATTGTTCATTTGTAAATTCCATATAATTATTCTTGTTCATATGGTCGAGTGCAATAAACATCCGTAAACGTGGCTGTGTTATTGAAGCCACTGTCAATAGAGTTGAGGGGCATAATAATGACGGTGCAATTCAATTACAATCGATTGTGCGGATCTTTGGGCAGCTGGGATTCTATTTGTAATGTTTTCAGCAGAACTGCAGGAATCCCGCATTGTTCCCGAGGCGAATTACAAGCGCGCGCACGCTCAATTGATTCCCCGCGCTCCTCCATAGTGGTGTCGTCATAATAGAACCTTTTTAGCGCCTTTCTCGTTTCTGCTATGTAAGTAAGCCGGCTGGTGTCCTTACATCACAAAACAGAAACACTTATAATATAATTCGATTCGAACTTATGTCAATCATGTTGTCCCGCACGGGCCATGGCAACGGTCACTATAGCATCGGTTGCCAAGACTGCGAGTCGATTGGGAAACCAATAGCCTGCTGATGCATCAGATGGCGGCTGAAGTTATAGTGAAACTTATGAGACTTAAAACGTTTGTTGTAGACGTTATTTGACAGCCATCAGACAACTAACTACTCAAACGGCAGGTGTAAAGTGAGAAGCAGTTTCGACTTGATTCAAATATTCTTTTAGGGATGATTTGATGAAATTATTAAGACTGAAATGTACATTTCTCAACGGATTGCAGGTCATAGTTTGGGAGCTAAAAATACTTGAATGAGGCCCAGCTTTGATGCATCATAATAATCAAATCCTCATAATCAGTTTCATCAGGAAACAAACAAACAACAAAATTCCTCACAGTAGCCTATTACACCGTGCATCTCATAAGTGGGTTAATTATTATTATTTTTTATTCAAGTTCTTAAAGTTTAGTTATTTTACAAACTGGAAAACAAATTTTCCTCATAGTGAGTTACTGAGAGGCCAAATAAACTCCCCAACACTGCCCAAAATAAAAGTGAGATGGAGAAAAAGATAAACTAGTTAAATTTAAAATACACATATTTTAAAAAATTATTTTAAAAAGGTCACTATCAATGAGAACACCAGATAATAACAGGTTGTCTAAACTATTTATTTGACTTTTTGATATAGTATTAACATGCTTTGGAATGCCACCAATTGGTTATTTTTTTATTTTATTTTATTTATTTTCTTTTAACAACATAGTCAAGTTAATTTTTGCTGACATTTTATTTTAAATGCATTTAAATGTATTATTATTATTATTATGCAGCTGTTATTTTGAAGCTCAACAACAACAACAAAAAATTTCTCAAACTAATCTCGTTCAGCGTTGGCTCAGTCAATTGAGATCAGATTTTCAGTCTGTAATTGAATTATTTGCTCTGTGAACAGTTTAAGTAGTGCTCTAAATAATTGGATTAAATCCAATCTAAAGGCGAGACTGATCTGAGATCATTTATAATCATGCACTGAATATCAGAGTGGAAAAGTGTCATCCGAATATGGCAAATATTCAATAATTAACTTCAAAATTTTTCACAAAACAATGGCATTGAAAATAATTGAACTGAGTAACTGCTTTTTGAGGCCACATAAAACATGTTTTAAAAACAAAATTAGTAAATAACATTTTTTTTGGTTAAAACACTACAGCAAGGCATCTGTTATCTAAATATTTTGTACGAATGATAATGTTTTCTTCAGAGTTTATAGTTTCAGAAGAAGCCATTTTATAATTACCAATAGTACAGACTGCAGTTTCACTCAAGTCAAAACCTGGCTTGAGCAGGTGCATCATTTTCATAAAACTATAAATAATTGGATTAAATCCAATCTAAAGGCGAGACTGATCTGAGATCATTTATAATCATGCACTGAATATCAGAGTGGAAAAGTGTCATCCGAATATGGCAAATATTCAATAATTAACTTCAAAATTTTTCACAAAACAATGGCATTGAAAATAATTGAACTAAGTAACTGCTTTTTGAGGCCACATAAAACATGTTTTAAAAACAAAATTAGTAAATAACATTTTTTTTGGTTAAAACACTACAGCAAGGCATCTGTTATCTAAATATTTTGTACGAATGATAATGTTTTCTTCAGAGTTTATAGTTTCAGAAGAAGCCATTTTATAATTACCAATAGTACAGACTGCAGTTTCACTCAAGTCAAAACCTGGCTTGAGCAGGTGCATCATTTTCATAAAACTACGACAAACTCAGTACCTTATGCAAGTTTAGTCTAAATTTATGGTCATTGGTCATATTGCTATTTCGTAAAACCACCATCCACTTTACGTAATCCCCAAACTGTGTAAAACCATAAGCTCAGCAAAAGAACACCCATCATGAGCAATTAAAAACGAGGCCAAAAAAACATGCCAACTTATCTCTTGGTGACCTAGATTCAAGAGTTTCCCTTACGGAAGGTTAAAAAACTTTTTCTGATGCCAATCTCGGGTCACGCAATCCCAAGGCCCGTTTCGCGTTCCAAAAGAGCCCAGATCCCAAGCGTCGCAATGCCACAGCAGTACAGCAGGAACCAACCTGTGGAATCCATGTCAGGCTCTTCCAGCAGCCCACAATGCATCCTCTTCCCATGCACGTTCCAGGGGCTCCTCTGAGAAAATGGCTCCGTGCAGGACTCCCCCTCCGTCTCTCCGAGAGAACAGCCCGGCGCTGAGATGCATAAGATGTGAGGTCCGTGGAGAGGGTGGCGGTGGTGATGGAGGTGGGGGTGTGGGTTGTAGGAGCGGGTGGGGTGGAGAGGGGGTCACAGACTCCAGAGATCCAGCGGGGGAAAAGCCAGAGCCGTCAAAATGTTTGCTGATGTTTCATGGGAAAGGGGCTGATTTTATAGGAGCCCTGATGGGGGACATGTCATTGATAGGCTCGGCAGGCTGATGAATGGCTTCGAGTCAGATGGGGATGTGGCAAGGCTCACTGGAAGTCTTTTGTGGGGCTGTTTTGAATAAGAAAAGCTCCCTTCCCAGAAAAAAAAGAGGCTTAGATCTACGCAATCCCAGCACTGTGGCCTCCCCGTCTCCCATTATAGCATTTAATACGTTTTCGTACCCTCTCCTCACACACACATACACACTCTGCCCCCACTGCTTTAGTTTTAAAGTTCTCCATCCAAGGGCCACTTTTTGGCCCATTGCAGAACTTTTTTGATGTCTTTGATGCTGTTAATAGATCTCGAAATGGGAACGTCAAAGTTGCGTTCATTCAAAATCAATGCAAAAAAACATCGAACTCTCTCACAAATGTGTTCATCGTCCTTTTGGATGCTTTTGACACCAAATGCCCATTAAGGCCGTTGGCAAAACTGGAAAGAGAAAGTTTGGTGGACCCCCCTCCCCTTCTCGCTCTCTCCTTGAAGCAACCTTATTTTAGTGTGCCGGGAGGAGAGCGCGGCCACAAAAGGGGGAAGTAAAAGTGTAGAGTCTGAGGCAGGGAGGGCTCTGATGGAGTGCCTACAAACTGCAGAAGGGAAAGCTGTGATTAGAATATGAATGGAACCACGGGGGAAAGAGACAGACGCCGAACGGCGCCACCGGTGTACCTACACTCATAGAAAATAAAGTATTTGAATTTTAAAGACATGGCGTTAGCATATGAATGGAACCACGGGGGAAAGAGAGAGTGAGTAGGAGAAAGGGGGATTATGGTGGAACTGCTCCCCACTTGCTGGATGGCAGAGGAACGCTCGCTCCTACACCTATCGACTGCGCAGGCGTAAGGATGCCAGGACAGGCTCCTCACTGCGTGGCAGTCGGACTTCAGCTAGAGATATTTGTTATTTGAGGTTTAGATGGAACTAGAGTACGGTGGCCCCCAAAATGTGTTGGAACACTTAAAGGGGTCCTATTATGCTTTTTCACTTTTTTAATTTTAGTCAGTGTGTAGTGTGTATGTTTGGGCATAAAAAAGATCTAGAAAGTTACAAATCTCAAAGTCCACTCCAAAGGGAGATATTTCGTTTTTTAAAAATCCCTTTTCAAGAACAGCTGTTTGCCAATCACAATGCACTGGGACAGCTAACCAATCACAACACATTTTGTTTTTCGGAAGGCGGACCTTCATCAAAGCCGGAACTAATCGAGCCGTTTGTGCCAGGCTGGGGAGAAAGGTATTTTAATAATGTAAATTATGTGAAAAATAATGCGTTTTTCGAACTACCAAGCATGAGCGCATGTTCTAGTACACCCCCAAAACAAAATCAAGACTTTGTAAAAGAGCATAATAGGACCCCTTTAATTTAAGATTAGATCATTGCATTCGATACAAAATATCAAACCAACTTGAGCAAAACATTTGTTAAAAATGCTTTCTGGTTGTCAAATATTAATGCAGAATGTCCATAGAGGATAGTTAATATGAATAATTACTCTGCTAAGACACCTGTGCAAACTTGACAATTGACTACCTAAATTGCTATTGAAGAATGTTACTCTTCTAACTGATTTCAAAGTAGTTAAATTTAGTTTGCAGATGCCATTGTTTTGATATTTTATTGACTAATGCAATTAAATTTTGGGGGGCCGTAAGCAAACCAGCACTGAGTCATCAGTTGATACAGCAATGCATCTTTGCTTATTGTCATTACTTGCTAACTGTAATACACTTTTAGCATTTATGTTAGCAACAGATGTTTTTTGGTCCACAGCGGCTATGCCATGGCTCAGTATTCTAGTTTGCAGTCTAGACGTACACTACCGTTCAAAGGTTTGGGGTCAGGAAGATTTTTTGAAAGAAATAAGCACTTTTATTCAGCAAGGATGCATTAGTTAAAGACATTAAGGGACAAGACATTTGTATTTTAAATAAATGCTGTTCTTTTGAACATCTTTTTTTGTATCCAGAAAAAAAAAAACCGTTTCCACAAAATATTAAGCAGCACAAGTATTTTCAACATTGATGAGAAATGTTTAATGAGCAGCAAATCAGCATATTAGAATGATTTCTGAACGCTAATCTGACACTGAAGACTGGAGTAATGGCTGCTGACAGTTCAGCTTTGCCTTCACAGGAATAAATTACATTTGAAAATATATTAAAATAGAAAACAGTTATTTTGACTTGTAATATTATATAGACTTCTTTTAGAAATATTAAAAAACCGTAAACCCAGATGTTTGAACAGTAGTGTCCCTTTCATATTAAAAATGAGCAAACAATAAATACATAAATAAATAAAACGGAACTAATACTACAAACCATCAAAGAAACATAAAATAACAAATTGAAAGCTTCATCCAAAGGCCAATATCCCAGCTTTCATTAGAAACTGTATGGATTAACCAGCACCTCTAACAAGCTGGGAAGTGGATGGTGAGGGAGAGCCAAACATCAATGAAAATTTCCTTAATTACAGTTTTAAAGATGAAGGCTGTGAAGGAAAGGAGGGAGGAGGAAGAGAATCTTTGCATTCTCTCCTCAGAAGACTTCCTTTTTCTGTTCGTCTACTCTAAGTCTCATTAGCCCCTCATTAGCTAGGACAGGTGCAGCCGGCCAAAAGAGACACCCTCGGACCCTTATACCCCCCCAACCAGCGAGCGAGCCGCACTGTCAGTGCCCATTCTACCGATGTGAGATGCATTCTTCCAATCAAAGCCTTCCACTGCTGCTTGGTGGGTGGGAGCAATCTCTGAATAGTGGATGATTTCGTTTACAAAAAAAAACAGCAAAGTGGGAAGGTGGTCAATGTAACAACAAGCTCCTTTTTACTGTCAGTGTTGTCAGTTAACACTTCATCAAGACTGCTCAAGACTTCCACCCTAATACTTTCTGATCATCGCTCTTAAGAAAAAAAGAAATGTCATGGGATGCACCATAAAAACAAAATGTACACATTATTCATAATCTACATTTACAATTTATTAGTTTATTGTAAAGCAAACCTTACTATTCTGAAGGCAAACTGAAACAAATCTACATATTTTGGACAGCAAACATACATACTGTAAACTAAAGGAGATGCCAATTATCAGTTCATCACCATCAAGTTGAAATTGGAAGAAAAAAAAACCTACATTCACTTCTTTATATA